TGGGGTCTCACAAGAGCAGAGTAAAGGGGGAGAATCACCTCTCTTGACCTGCTGACCACGCTTCTCTTGATACATCGCAGGATGCGGTTGGCCTTCTGGGCCGCATGAGCGCACTGCCGGCTCATGTTGAGCTTCTCATCTATAAACACCCCAAATCCTTCTCTTCAGGGCTACTCTCAACCCACTCTGTGCCCAGTTTGTATCTGTGCCTAGGATTGGCCCGACCCAGGTGAAGGACCTTGCATTTTGACTTGTTGAAGCTCATGCAGTTTGCACTGGCCCAATTCTCAAGCCTGTCAAGGTCCCTCTGGATGGCATCTCTTCCCTCAAGTGAGTCCACGGCACGACACAACTTGGTGTCATCAGCAAACTTACTGAGGGTGCACTCAATGCTGTCATCCATGTCAGAGACATGGATGTAAATTTTATGTAGCTTGTAGAATGAAAGTGATAGTCTGGTAGTGACAACACATCTTTCACAAAACAACCCCATCACTGAAATTATCACACTGTTTTCTCTAGCCTTTTGATGAAGTTGGTCATTGCTCACGATAAACAGCAAACAAGTCAACTAAACAGAACTGAGCTGATTCAAACCAACACTGCGTGCTCCTAAGTAGTTATATGTTCTTTGACAACTCTGTTCTGCCCCAGATGGTACATAGCAGAGAAAAAAAAAAAAGAAAAAAAACAAGCAACTATTACTCTATCACATCAACCCCCCGGACATGACAAATAACCTTGAAGTCAGTATGCAATGTACGAAAACGTAAAGTTAGCTAACACAGTCAAAGGATTAGTAACTCCTGCTTTAAAAACAGTCACATTTGCTTGCCTGATTGACTTCCAATGCCAGAATCAACCATCACTGCACACTAATTACACTGACTGGTGTCAAGCAGCAAATATTGGAGCAACAATAAATAAGTAGTAGATACTGGATCAGATACACATCTAGAAAATCATAATTTGAACAAAGTGCAAGGAGAGAAAACTTTCCCTTACAGATCACTAACTGCAAAGGAGATATGCTCTATATGGAATAGTGTTTGGGAGTCAGTGTCGTGCCACGCACACAGGAGATTTCTACTCCACTGACAGACCAATGGGCAGAGAGGCTAAAGAATGTCTCCAGTACAAGTGAGGAGATGGACCTAATGCAATCTCACAGTAACACTGTTTTCACATCATTAAAAAATGAATTACTGTATTGGGTTTGTGTGGCAAGGTTTTGTTATTGGGGGTCTACAGGGGTGGCTTCTGTGAGAAGCTGCTAGAAGCTTCCCCTATGTTCAACAGAGCCAATACCAGCCGGCTCCAAGACAGACCCGTAAATGGCCAAGGCTGAACCCATAAGCGACAGTGGTAGTATCTCTCTGATAATGTATTCAAGGAGGGGAAAAAACCCTGCACACCAGCAACTGCAGCCAGAGCGAGGTGTGAGAATATGTGAGAGAAACAACTCTGCAGACACAAAAGTCAGTGAAGGAGGAGCGGCAGGAGGTGCTCCAGGTGCCAGAGCAGAGATTCCCCTGCAGCCTGTGGGGAAGACCGTGGTGAGGCAGGCTGTACCCCTGCAGCCCATGGAGATTAGTCATGGAGCAGAGATCCACCCTGCAGGAGGTGTGACCCTGTGGAGAGCCCATGCTGGAGCAGCCTCCTGGCAGGACCAGCAGACCCATGGAGAAAGGTGCCCACACTGGAGCAGGTTTGCTGGCAGGACTCATGAACCTGCGGGGGACCCAAGCTGGAGCAGTCTGTTCCTGAAGGACTGCACCCCATGGAAGGGACTCACACTGAAGCAGTTCATGAAGAACTGTAGCCTATGGGATGGACTCACATTGGAGAAGTTTGTGGAGAACTGTCTCCCATGGGAGGGACTCCGCGCTGGAGCAGGGGAAGAGTATAAGGAGTCCTCCCCCTGAGGAAGAAGGAGCAGCAGAAACAACATGTGATGAACTGACCACAGGCTCCATTCCCTGTCCCTCTGTGCCATTGTGGGGGGAGGAGGTAGAGAATTTGGGAGTAAAGTTGAGCCCAGGAAGAAGGGAGGGGTGGGGGGGAGGAGTTTTAAGATTTGTTTTTATTTTCTCATTAATTTATTACCAATCAAATTAGAGTAGAATAAACTCATTTCCCCCAAGTCAAGTCTGGTTGGCCTATGACAATAATTGCTGAGTGATCTCCCTGTCCTTATCTCAACCCATGAGCCTTTCATCGTATTTTCTCCCCCCATTCAGTTGAAGATGGGAGTGATAAAGCGGCTTTGCTGGGCACCTGGCATCCAGCCAGGGTCAATGCACCACCATGACATTTCTGCATGCTAGGAGACTGAATGTTACCATGCAAACCAGGAAAATTTAGAAAATAAAAAAATGAAACTTACAATTTCCTGATAAAATCCAGTGTATCTTTATCTTTAGCGAAGATGTCAGCCAAAATATGCTGTACTCCAGCCTCTACTTCCTGGATAGTTGAAAGTCCTTAGAAGAAAAAACAGTTAATAATTACTAAAAAAAACAAATACGAAAAATTACACAACTGCACAAGCACTAATAAAATATATACAAGCTGAAAGAAAATTGATGCAAGATATTGAACTGATTTGCAGAGGTTTCAATGAAGAATCTTAGTTCATTAGAATGTTTTTAACTAAGCTTCCTTTCCGAAACATCCAAAATAATTTTTAATGAGTCTACAGTAACCAATGCAGCATCATAAATCAAAATGACATTAAAATGAGAGAAAAATAATCATTTTGTGAGTTCAATGCTAACACATCTTGACATTTATGATGCAAATTAATTATTTACAACAGTAAAATCAGATGTTCAAGTATGATTTTTGAGGCTGTAACAAAACGAGTAAATGCAGTACAAGTCTACATGTTTTGCAGGCAATCTTGTCCTTTCTCTGTGTACTAGTTTTATATTTCCACTGGTTTGTAGCAAGAGTTTGCACAGTGACACTTCTGAGGTCAGGGTACCCTCATCCTCTCCCACGAAACACTGTTCAAACAGTGCGGTTCTAAAATGTCTCCACAGACAGAGTATCCTCGAGACTTGACAGCAGAATCATTCAACTTTGCCACATGCAGAACCATCCCTCACTTCAAAAGACTACAAAAGGTGGCATGGTATAACGGAAGTGTGAGAAAAAAATATGTTATTAAATGCCTGAACTGATTGAAAGTTGTGGAATTTGGCTCTTTACACCTACAATTTAGTGTTTCATATGGTAAAAGTAACGTAACATCAGAAAGCAAAGCTAAGGAAATTATAAAACATGCATTACACTGCATATGAATTATTATGAGACACTCCAGTACCAGAAGGGTACATGGCAACAGTATTTTAGTTCTAGCGGAGAACTCAAATGAGAGAGAACAAACCAAAACCAATCAGGATTGAAGAAGCAATCAAGATGCTCCCATTCAACAAGCACCACTCACACGGGCATTAACTGTGTCCATTGCAAAAACAGCACATGCTTGCTTAATTAGAGAAATGTTGGCCCCATGTATACAACTAAAAGAAGAACAAGGTCTTCTAGTGAGCCTACTTCCATAACTTTCAAATATCTGGCTTTGAAACATGAACTGCTGGTTTTATTTCAGTTTATTTTTAGTATAAGTTTAAAAACACTGAGAATTTAAAATAACTGAATATTAAGATTTCATGAAAACTTTTTTGCACAGCAAATGGCTCATCCTCTTAACAGAAATTCACTCGGATCTCAAACTGTATGTAGCTTGTCAACCTGGCTCCCAAGTTGATAAAAGTGACCCAGTTCATATACATACATAGTTTCTGATACATCTTTCTAATGGTAACCATTATATAAACCTAAGCAACACTATTTTTAGCACAAGATTGAAAATAGATGTACTGATTCCAGAAATTGAAGTGTTTATGTTGCAACAAATAGCAATCCCTTCTGAATGTACCCTAAATAATTTATTTGAACTTGAACTGTGAAGATTTTCATTTGGCTCTTTAGACTCTGCCAGAATAGTCAGATATGTGGTTGCAATACACTGCTGTACAAAATAATGACATCTGCTAAAATGGAGTAACTCAGCAACTAGAAAATTTGTTAACTGATTTTCAAAACAAAGATAGGATCATTTTATAAATAATATTTATATACAATAAAAGAACAACAGAAGTGGGAAGAGTAAGAGTCAGCGTCACCAGCAGGTTCAGTAGTTTTACGTTAAAATTAAAAAAAAATAAATGTTAGGGCAGGGAAAAAGAAAAGCACTTCTCTATTTCAACACCCTACAGAAGTTTGCAGCCATCTTCATATTTTATTGTCAGAGGTTGCCCCCTACAGATTCACCTGTAACTGCATTCACAAAGAAACCCAATTCTGCAGCCTACGTGTGACAATCATATTGTTGAAGTTCCTACTCAAATTTCAGAGATTAAATCTTCTCTAACCCCTACGGCCATTCAATAGCAAAAACTCTCCCACTCACTTCCAGTCACCAAGGCCAGTTCTTATTAAGATATGCTTTGATAGGTGACATTTACTTCAGTAAAAAGTATGAGCATAAGCCCCTTGTACAATCTGCATTGAATCTTCAGTGAACAACTCAAGTAAGAGCAGAACCATTGAGAGGTCTCAGGTGCGTGGTGCAGTTCTCACTCTCTTACCAGTAAATACAGATGTCGACTTCAACATCTCCAGAGGTCTGTCTCCAGGTATACTAGAATTAGTACTATTCACAGCACAAAGACAGGAAAGGTTTGAGAGCCATGCCATTAAATTTAAAAATCTACCACATGCTGGAAAAAGTACTGTGGAATATAAAATAGTTGCATAACGCAACATCAGAACAATTAAAATAATTCCCCTTTTAAAACATTTTCAGGCATTTAAGACATTTCTGCCCATAGAAGCAGACTGCTTACCTTTGGTATTAGGTCTAATGTAAGAAAAGAGATTGAGTCCCATAGGATTCTGCAGAAGGGAGAGAGCAGCAGGTTCTAATCCCAGCTGCTTGGCCCGCTGGGCTTTGGTGCCTTTACTCCCAGTTTTATAAGGGGCAGACTTAAAATAAACAAAAAATACAGTTATTAAAAGGCAAGGAAATATTTCAGCCATGCTACATACTTTGCATTATGCACTACTTTGTTTCTCAAGGTTACGTTTAAACTACGGGTGATCTGAAAAAGACTAGTGTACTGACCACATGGTCTAATTCTTCCAAAGTTCTGCAATTTAATAATGCTGCTAAAAGGCATCCAGATAGTTTCCCTTCTTTCTTCAACTTCTGTATCATCGTATGAGTCTTCTTCGCAACAGTACTAAAACGCAAGAGATTGACATTAACAATCAAATTTCAGTGGATGAAAAAGGCTATTGATTGTGACCTTATTTATTACACTGCTGAAGGTCTCTCAGACCCCTCAAGATTGTATCTCATGCTAGTCCTCAAAAAGCCAAGATAATCCAAAAGAATTTCCAGCTATTACTCTCTTTCTCTAATTATTTCAAAACTGTATCAAAATAACTTGTAGTATCTTTAAGAAAAATCTTCAAACAATACTGATAGTCATTACTGCTATATACATTCTTGCAAGATCGCTGGCCTGGAAGTCAAATAAAAAGGTCCTAATTTAAATCCATATTGATGAGCACTTACAGTTATAATTCATATCAAGACAGTTCTGCAGTACCAAGTACAGGGTACCAGATTTTAAACTCTTAGGCCTTCAAAAAGATACCTGTGAGCAACCACAGGCAGCAAAGGTATTTTGTTATGATTTAAATTACTCATTCAGAGAAGAATTATCTCAGGTCGTCTTCCCTCTTTGGAAAGAGCCTCCTGCCAAAGGATAGCCAGGGAGTACAAGGGGGAAGACACCATGTTAACAGAACAGCTGGCAAGTCTGTTCCCTTGCCATCTCAAGAGCATATAGCCATGCAAAAGCAAGGAGTAATGCGAACAGTCTCCTCCACCCCTGCAGTGGACTTTACTGCAACGGTCTGCGATGGTTTAGCCTGTCCTCCTCATACACTACAACCTCAAGAAGTGCTCTTCCCTAGAGGCTTCGCTGTTCCAAGTAGAGAGTCAAGGGATTCTTAGCGATTCTTTTTCTCAGGGTGCAGCTTACATCTAATTGGGCTAGGTATATCCAGGACTTGTAAGCCACTAAAACCGCAGAATTATTAAGATCTTAATTTTATTTTGGCAATTAACAATGCTATATTTCTTGCAGAGTGAAAAACAGACAGGCATCAAGCATAGTTACCTCAGTTTTGAACTTTCTCCTTTTTAATTGCAGTTTGTACAAAATTCCAAGATAGGGAGACAGAAGCAGCAGTTCGTTCTTACCTACCTGCCCGCCAGACACTCCCCTGTACAAACTTACTTACCGTAACTCTTCCAATGTTTGCTGCACTTCTCGCAAGGCATCGGCCTCCAGGTTATTGATGAGTTCTTTTCGATACCGAGCAATAAAGGGAATTGTGTTTTCTTCTTGAAAGAGGCGAATTAAGTTTGCACATACCCACGGTTCAACATTTGTTATTTCTGACAAGGCCTGTCACAAGCCAAAAAAAAAAAAAAAAAAAAAAATTTAAGAAAGGTGATCAATTGCTTTAAATAGCCTCTCACTTAAAGTTCAAAACAACCCTAGAGTATTATGCTGGCCAGCAGGGACTACTGTCCTCCTTAAGACAGGATGCCAGGCTTCCCATGCAACCAACCACCACACCCAGTACTTCAGAAAAACATGCAGCAACCCATGTTTTCAGAAAGTTGTAACTACAGGAAAAAATGCAGGAATTTTGCCTCCTGGGAACAGAAAACAAACAATTACAAAAAAAAATAAGAATCAGAAAGACAACAAAGCACATGGTAACTCGGAACTTTTTTTTTCTCTCCAAAACAACAGTAACATACCTCATTGTGAAACAAAACAAATAAACAAAACCCACAAACTCAAAGCTGATCCAAACCCTACTCTACCAATAATTGGAAACTAGCATGCTATCACTAAAGGTTTCAAGATGAACCAAGCCTCACGAGTTGCAGGTGATTTTGTACAAACTGGGCTTTCTAAAGATAAAGTAAGAGTGTATCCATTCAGAACCGAGGACAGGCCACATAAGTACCTCGGCTTTGTAACATTTTAACTATCACACAGTTTGTTTGTACTTCGCTACAGTTCTTCCCACCGAGGGCCGACAGAAAAGCCTTTCAAAAGTTTTATTCTGAAGCCTAAAAATAGAACAACTGCTGCACAATCATATTTGCTGCTTTTAAAGCAGAAATACATGAAGATCAAATTCTCCATCTGCATTTCCAGGAACATTTTAGAAGACTCAGGAACAAAATTTTACACCTTTCTTAAGCAGGCAGTACTAATGATGATGAATATAATGTGCCCAAGCTATTCCCATTTTGTTCATCTTAAAATCTTCCATAACCACACGCAGCCTCCCAGAACAGGAGCTATCCTAAAACTGTCTTCATCTGAAGAGCCTCAAAGCTAACATCCTGCAAAACAAAGATGATATCTCCCCTGATGTCACTGTTGTTCCAAGAACGCAATCATGTCCTTTAGAGTAAACCGGTACCTGCTCTCAAATGAGCCTCTACAAAGAAACAATCCACACTAAACCTTAAATTCTGAAACTATGCACACAGACATCCCAAATCTTCGGTATGCCTTCCTGTAGAAGCTTCGATTGACTATATCTAGAAAAAAAAACCCATGTGCTGAGACAGAAGAAACGTGCAAACTGTTATAGCCTAGCTTTATACTAAGGACTGCCTAGGATACAGGCACTTGAATAACGTTAAAGTTTGAACTTCTAACAGCTACCAACCAACATTTATATTTATACACGTATTACAGCAATTTAAGCAGAGGTTAACAGCACAATGACTGTCTGACACTCCAACTGATACCATGAGGACTTAAATTCTATGTTAGATTCTAAGGGCTAATTATGTAAGAAATAGTTTCATTGATATCTCAGAAAAGAAAAAGATCTCATACCTGTACAATATCCCAGTTCATTTCAAATTCTTCTTTCACTTTGTTGCCTCCTAGATTTTTTACCGGCTTTCCTTCAGGACATGTAGTTGATTTAATCTTTTTAAAAGGTGGTTCATCAAATGCAAAATCCTCCTCAGGTTTCTCATGTTTCACTTGATTTCCCACTACAGGAACACTTGTTGAGGGTTTTTCATCACTCTCTAAACTCCTTACGTTCTTCCCTTGGAACAAATTTATTTCCATTTTTTTAGGCACTGCTGGCTTTTGATTTGAAGTTTTTGGTTTAGTGCCTACATCTTCTTCCTTAGGTTTTACAAGTTGCATTCCATTATCTTCTGCAGGAGCAACAGGCAAGGATATATCCTGCCAAAAAGGCATTGAAACCATATTAAGCATTGACTGTTACAAACTGGTTCAACATTTCAATTAAAACCTAGGAAGACATGATACCAGACATCACTTTCCCAAATGATGTCTCTGTCTGGCAGAGAAATGCCAAGCCAGAAATCAAGTAACCTGAAACGTATCTTGCATGGAAGAAAAGATACAAACTTATCCAGCAGAACTGTGATTTAAAAGATCAAATAAAATTATCCTAGAAAGACTTTAATTGGGCCCTCCTTCAGAAGACACTGATCTACAGTCCTTGCCTCCAATCATCTCACCGAAACAGGGAGCAGCAGTGCAGGGAAGCACTCTTCTAATGAGGTGTTAGGTGCAGCATGGGAACTGGAACTGAGATTTGGTCTAAGATATTGTTTAACCTTGGACAAGCCACACCTTCTTTTCTGAATTTCCCCAGAGATGATCTTCAGAGTTCAAGAATGTGTTTCTCAATGTCACATATGTCAAAACATTCAGAAGCATTAGTATAAACCAGAGGACTGGCTTCTGTCATGACCTAACTCCTCATCAATCTTTGACAGAAATAAGTAAATTTTTTAGAGAAGTGCATCTTATCATAATAAAACTGCAATCCCTAGTGGGTTGAACAGACGTGTAAGGAATCCTAAGTACAGGCTTTCTTTTTGTTGTAGTACCCAGCTGGTGAAAAGGTAGAAGACATCAAAGGTGCAACACAGACACTAGAGATATTACAGTGTTTAGCTTTCATTACAGAAAGAACAACAGTTATCTATTTATTTCCCTATAACCATGTCCCATTATCATTGGCCAAAATTTTAAAGAAAGGCTCTTTGGTCTGGGACACTTAAGTACGTAAGAAAGCCACGTTTATCAAATACACTGAATATTCACTGTAATAGTGGAATCAGATGAGCTGATCAGACTCAGGCAACCAAGTGAACCAGAGCTGGAAAAATTCTGCTCATGTTACTTGCCAACCACAGTAATTAAATGTCTCTTGCTTACAGATACTCACCAATTCTTCTTTTATTGCTACCTTCTTGACCCTTTTCCTGGCCACAGCTGACCGTGGAGCAGCAACTTTTTTAGGTTTTGCCTCATTTTTCTTTGGCAACCGAGGTCTCTTGGTGATTTTGCTTTTTGGCTCCCACTCCTCCTCTTCCTCCTCTGATTCAGAGCTCCTGAAAAACAAATGAGTGAACAATATTGCTTATGAGAAGAATAAAAAAATACAGAAGCAAGCCAGTCTGACTGTTTTCTGTCATGAAAGGATACAAATAGCAAAAATTAACAGAAAGGTAGGCAGACTCAACAAATACAAGTCTTTAATGCCGTTGCAGAGCTAATGTCTGGAAAAATTTACCAAGCTTTCCTGAAGCTGGGCACTGGGCTGTGTACACACCCGATCGTTTGGACAACTAGCAATTCAGTTTCACCCTATTTTCACTGTGAGCATCAAGAGCATAGGTAATTTGTGGTTTAGAATTGAAGTTTTGAGCATTAAAACTTTTTAATCAACCTCTCAGAAACTGAGTTCTTACAAAATCACTCATGCTTAGCACAAACCTTTAAAAAAATCTTCAGGAAAAAAAAAAGTAATCTTACGAATTTAGAAATGAAGGTAGTTCATCATCTTCTGATGTAAGGGCTTTGGCTTCAGATTTCACCCTCCTTGGTAGAGATGACATCTGAAACAGAGGCGAGAAGAGAGAAATAGAACATTTGGTTGAAGCTGTGTTCTCTTATTCAGCTCTAACTCACTGCCAAGTGTGCCCTCATAATGTCTTCACCAATCACAAAAGTTTCCTCTAAAGCAAGTTTGGATTTCTTAGTATCCAAGAATTTAGGCCACAGCAGCACACATTCAACAATCTTTTCAGCTGAGCAAACAGACAAACCAGCACTATATCCCCTCAAATTATTTTTCTCTTCAAACGGAGGTAATTATTTAGCTTGCATATAAAGCTCTCCTAGCAAAAAGTGTACTTGTTCCCTGACATATTACTGGGTGTCACTTATATGCTGTGCCAGTCTTTCCTCCATCAATCTAAGAAGCACAGAAAATAAAATTAAGATCTAGTAAAGTGAGCTCACATATGGTTTTGATGTAAACAAGACAAGAAGATTGTCCATTTTGATCTAGAATTTCACCTTTAAAAATTATCCATTGCTTATATGCTTAACAAAAACACTGATTTTGAAAGAGCTGCTCATTAGCATATAGAAAGTGCATAAAACAATTACCAAAGGTAAAAAGGGAAGGCACAGACTTTCTCCTGACCTGAGATTCATACCAACAAAAGCTGCATTTCAGTTAATCAGTTATAGATTTTTTTTTTTTTTAGAGATTGGGCCTATTAATTTCAATAATCATATTTGGCAGTTTTAGTTAAGAGAATTTCAGGTACTCTCAAAATTATACCTGCCAGAAAATTAAAATTGAAAAAATAAACAAAAAACCCCACCATCCAAACAAAACATTCCTATAGCTATGAAATTCATAAACATATTTTACCTATATCTGACAATTTCATCATTCTTCACATTCTATTCTCCAGCTCTTGTATCCAAAAAACCTTTTTGCACCTTGACCTTTGATCCAGCCTTGCCACTGCGATGTGAGCCTTAAAGTCCCATGTTCACACATAAAAACCGGATAAGCCTTTTGCAAAGTGTCACTAACTCAAGGGCAAAACGCTCTTTAATCCAACTTCATTCTGGCCTCTGTTAAAGCACTGGAAGCATAACTATTGTTATAAATGGCTTTCAGTAAGTTTTCCTTGTAAAGCAGTACCAAAATTTAAGTGATCGATTTCAGCACAGCAGCACAAGGAGGACTATTGAGGTCCACACCAAATTGCACTAGCAATTAGCTGGCTTGCAAAACACCTTCTTGTAGCACTTGTCATGGTCAGTAACAGGTCAGCGTTTCTGACAGTGCTGTTCCACTGACTGAAATCCCATTATGTGACTGGTTAGAATACACATCCACCACAGGAAAACAGAAATCTCCACAGAACACAAGAAATATTACTCACCTTATTAGCTTCCCAGGTGACTTTTCACTGTCAGTTCCGAGACACCTGCAACTTCCCCCAACCACTCTGCTTCTCCGTTTTCCTTTGCTCTTTATAGCTGAACTGTCATTATCACAGTCTTGAATTATTTATTTATTTATTCTTACTACCTCAGAGGCATGAAAATAATGTTTTCATTTTATATTGTACTTTAATCTGCGAATGGGAGAAACAAAAAACGTTATTCATGTTTGCAACACCAAAATTTCCAGAATTAGGTAACACCTGAGCCAGATGGATCTCTGATCCTTTTTTGCAGGCACTGGGACACTTTTCGCATAGTTAGGTCTCTCTCACAGTTCTCTCTGTTTTCAAACTAGGTGTTTAGCTTACAATATCATTATAAGTCATGCTTCTTCCGCTAATCCAACTAGCTGGGTATTTTTCAGTATTTCGGGCAATTTTGGGAGCCAGTGATCAGTTTTTAAACACTCTAACCAGCTTCTTCATAGTTACTCATTGAATCATAGCATGGAAGAGGAAAATGCCAACAGGCATGTTCTCTCATCTGAGGTCAGCATTCCCCCTAAGTAACACCAATCTCCAAACTTCCCTGCCAGTTTTGGACACTCAAGCATATTACCATGACAGTTTTGGGACTTACCCAAAATCCCAGATAAAAGGAAAGCCTCATCTGGAAGGTCTTTTTACTGCTAGTATTTCCCTCTCACCTCAAGTGGCCAAGGGCAGGGTCTCAAAATATCTCAACATTTGTACTGTTACATTATGTAAGATTACAGCAAGAGTAAAGCTTACTTTATAAAGTTAATTGTACTTCCTGCCATCCAACACTGGTGACAGATTTAACTCTTTGGATCAGCACAAGAATAGGAGGTGAGCTCCTTGGTTTATGAAACCACGCATTTTCCACATTCTTCATGAACAGATTAGTATTTGCTCCTACATCCCTAAGTCTGAAAATTACTGTATAGAAAATAGAAAAATGGCATAGGAAAGCAGGAAATAGAATAGAAAGTTATATGTAATAAGGCTGTCTTTGTGGGACAGCTCAATGTCTGCTGTTTTTTTTCCTTTGATTTCTTGGATCTTCCACTTTAAAAAATAATTAGATCATCTTTTAAGTGTTTGTTGCAGTTATTCAAAAAACTGGAGAAGTATCAAAAGCATTTGATCCAGAAGATCAAAGATGATAAGAGCAGCACAGAACCTGTTCTCTGTCCCACTCATCAATATTGTGTCAGTTCTTAAAAGCACGTAGTGAGTTAGGACCGGCCTCGGATACATAAGCTCCAACTTTAATTATATTATTAATCTACTAAATTTTCTTGAGAAGAGTGGTAACTTTGTTTCTAAAGTTTGTTCCTGAAGTTAATTTGAACTAAGCTAGGATGTGAATTTAAAGTACAAAACTTGTTTCAGAACAACTCTCCATGAACAGACAAGCCATGGTCAGAAGCCAAAATGGAGTTCTACAGCTCAAAATAAAAGCCCAATACCAAAGAGCATTTGGGAGATGAATATCAAACATGGTGTATCATAAAGGAAAAAAACGTCATAACCACCTCCCCTTCTAATAACGTATACATCAAACTAATTGTACTTCATGCTTGTAGAAAAAGAACCTTGCAGTTGCTACACATATTCTTTTTGTTTAGAAAGAATCATTGTTTTATTCAAATCCTCAAAAGTACTTCTGATTTGATTCCAAATTGCCGGACAGCTGTCTCCTAAATTTTCCTCCTGAGCTGCCTGCGCTAGGGTGTGCTAACACCTACAGTTAATGACTAAGAAAAACAGTCCCTCAGTGATTCAACTGCAGAGTGGGAGGCAGGGAAGAGGATGAAAAAGCAACATGTCTAAATGCCACTGATGATGATGAATAGCTATTACAGATTTTTTTTTTTTTTTTTTAAAAAAATGCTTAAAAGACAGTCCCTGAAGTGAGGCAGGAAGTCAAGAAACAGGTTAACACAGTTATGCTCCACACGGGGCATCTACAATGCTGGCTGCACTGACTACACACAAGGCAATCAAACAAGCTTTGCTTCTACTTTATTCACCCTCCCACAGCATGCTGGGCTCAAGATGGCATGAAGTTGGCCACTTATCTCCAATTATATTTTCAAGATAGAGTGGCCTCAGTGGGAAAACTGCCTTTACCTCTTGCTTCCCTGTCACCATCAGGTAACCATACACGAAGCGAGGGCTTGTTTCTACTCTAAGGAAAGACTGTATCTTGCATATATCTGCCCCCATCTCAAATCCAGAAAAGTCCCATAGCTGTAGAAGAGCCAATTACAAAATTGATTGGTTCTTGAAAAACAAAGAGTAACTAATTTACACCAGACACAAGTCAGAGTAAAGCTTTTCCCCCTCCTGTGTCTGTGCTCAGTATTGCTGTACCTTATTGCACGTGTTTGCAGTGCCTGGATTTTCCAGTGTCTCCTGTGCTTACCACCTGAAGGAATTAAACATGTGATATCCAGTGATGTGCACAAGTTACCCCTGTGTAGGATTTCACAGGCTTGCCAGTTGGCATATTATCCTACAGCTCTGTTCTAGCAGCTCTCCTCACATCTGAGGCCAGCAAACTTCCAAGTAACATTTGCTAATGCATTACTTTTTTCTTATATTATATATGTTGTCGGAAACTTTGCAGTCACTAAAAAAAAATGTTGTTCCTTGAGAAAAAGAATTCTTAATCATCTCACCAACAGTATTTTACTTCCATGCCAGACAACAAGACCTAGGACGTAGAAACTTCAGCATTGCTGTTATACTTTAGCTCCCAACTCCTGCTTCGTTTCAGTGGTTCATGTACAATATTTTGCCTCTGTGCAACAGGCTGAAACCTTAACACTGAACCCTCACTCCAGACCCTTGATCTCCTGTTCAAGAGAAACAAAACTCTCTGCTTGCCCATCTCCCAAATCACAGCAGGCAGCATGAAACATCATTGCTTGAAACACCTGAATTCTTTTTTTCACACACCCAGTCATCACTAAAGCCTTGCTTCTCCACAAAACCCAAAACAGTTACCGCATGTTCTTCAAAATTACTTCCCACTTAAAAATGAAAGAGGACTTTGCAGAACTATTACGCTGTCCAGTGAAGAAGAGCTGAAACTATTTAAATCATTGCTAGTGTAGATAAATATATCTCCCAAGTCTACTCTCCAAATAGTTTGGCGTCAGTTTTGTTGCCAGTTCTTTTGTTCCCACCACTTCTATTCTCTGCGTCCAATGCAGAAGAGCTCCACAATGGATTCGAGCTATCCTGATGGCTGTAAATAGCACCCTTCTCCCTGCCTGTCATCCTCTCATTAAAACAAGGCTAGTGTAGCCTGGTGTTGGGCCAGGAATAAAGAAGAGTGACAGGGTAGCTCTTATTATACTTTGCTGTACGGAATCTTAATATGGGTATGCACGAAACAACTCTTTCTCAAAATAACGGTTTTAGTCAGCATGTAGAACGTAAGTAGATTGAAGCTTTAAAGGCCTCATGTTAAAGGGCAAACCAAGTCTCATTTAGAGACCGATATTCTCTTCAACCTCCGTATTCATGCAGAGATACAATCCATTAAAAGTATATTTCATCACATGTGAATCCAGGTGGCATAAGCAACTATTTGCAGAAATAAAAGTTTCATA